CAAAGCTTGCAGCTGTCAGCCAGCAGGGAGGAGAGAAGCTAGGAAGGCACAACATTTTCATCCATTTTTGTACTATCAGCATTTTGCCCATAGTACCATTTTTGGCCAAAATGTTTCGGCGCATCCCTAGTTCTCACTGTTGCCAAGTGCTGAAGACAATTAGGTAAACTGAGCCCAATGGCTTACTGGAAATGAACTTCAGCTTTACATTTTTTCGCCACACTTGTAACAAAGTCCTCTCCTGTGTTGAAAGCGATTACTCTTAATTCACGACAAGCTTGCATTTCCACAATACAAACCTTTGAAGTTGCAGCAGCTATCTTGAGCCCACCTTCATTTCCTGTCTTAATGACTTCATTCATCACCAGTGGCCAGCAGGGATGCACATCTAAAGGGAGGTCCGATCCCTTTCCAATCAGGAAGCCGGGCAGCGTGTAATGACTTGCTGCCCGGCTTTCTGATTGGTGGGGAAGCTGGCCAATCATGAAGCCGGGCGCCGTGCAATGATGCGGCGCCAGGCTCTCTGATTAGCCGGGAAGCCTCATGACGAGGGAGCATAGAGCCGGCTTCCTGGCCAATAAGGAAGCCGGGCGCTGCGTATTACACGGCGCACAACTTTCTGATTGGCCAGAGAAGTATGGGGACGGCTTAGTGACGAGAAGTATGGAGACGGCTTCTCTTCTAATCGGGAAGCCAGGTGGCCGGTCTTTACACGCCGCCTGGCTTACTTAATGGGACTTCCAGTACTCAGTGTTTGGTATCGGCGAGTACCGGTAAAAAAAAATATTGGTACTCGTACTCGATACCAAAAAACCGCTATCGGCGCATCCCTAATACTAAGCATACAAGATGGAATACCTCCCCCATGTACAGAAGCAGCAGCTGGGTGACCCAATACACCGGAGTCCACCCAGAACTAAAAATTAGTTTTAAGTAAAGTTTAAGTTTTTTTTTTTTCATCAAAACACATTTTATCACCATCCGCAACATCCCCGGAACAATTTCAAACCCCCCCCCCTCGGGCATTTCATTGCATACGTTAGGACCCGTTGATGGATTTAATACAGATTAAGGGATTAGGCTTGCCGAATAATAGCAATTAGCTCATACGATGTCCCCTTACCATAAAAAATGGATTTAAATGATCAGAAGCGGATGAACTAGACCAAACACGGTAATGGAAAATTATCCCTGTGAATAATCAAGCGGCTTACTTTAAATCAAATTCTGTAGAAGATTAAAATCCCATCTGAATATTAAACCTGATCTTATTAACGGAAAACGCGTCTTTCCGGGTGCGAGGAACACAGCTTTTATATTCATTTACATTGCGGGGGGGGGGGGGGGGACAGCCAGAGGAAGA